CGGATCAGACATGTTCATATGATAACGATTGATAGCTTAATTCTTAAGGCGACAGGAAATGTCGCAAGACAGTTATACTATTCTTTTGGTGTAGTTTTCTTTATGATTAACCACTTTTACTAGTACTACAATACTCCACCAGTCATTTTGTATTATGTTTAATAGTTAAACTGATTTATAAATATTGTGACATTCATGATCGTTACTCTATAAGATTTACTAAATAGTAACTTATTATCCAAATATATGTGCATGTCCTATGGTAGAGTATCGAACATGTGCGTGCTCTATAGAAGAATGTATATATTATTTCTATTTACAGAAATTATTATATTTCTACCGAAGAATTGACATTATATCGATTGCTATTGATGGTATACACTTGATATCTCGTTATGAAGAATCATTGAGGTTGATAAAAGACACGTAAATTGATCATGCGTTTTGAATGGAGCACAATAAGGGATGTTGAAGATTATTGATCCGAGTATATTTTTACCTTATTACCGCTTGTTGCAGTTTCTTTTGCGATATGTGTGTCTCATTTAAGACTTTTTTCTAGGTTCGAAAAGTATATCATACACACCACATAAAAAATGTAAATAAGTCAAATCAATGTTTGAAATTATTAACAACTCGAATAATCCTGTAGCAATGCTTCAATATCATTTAATTTAGTTATTTCAGTATTATATAAGATTGGATAAAGCTTAAGCTAGTACTAGGGGAATGGAAGGGGTGGGGTGGGTGGAGACGGGTTAGAGATGGTTCGTTTTCCCAATTTCACTTCATTACCCTCTTCTATTAGGATGGAATCAAAATTGTACAATTTTAAATTATCTGTTAAAAAACATTTACTTAATGGGTAATTATCTCTTTTAAGGGTGTCTATCCTCTAGTCTTAATATTTATTATTTTTATTAATTTATTTTAATTTGAAAATTTTATGTATACTATTGTCTTTCTTTAATTTAAAACTGTGATAAGTCATTTTCATGCCTCTCTTTGTCAAAACCATCAGTATCTAAGGACCACAATGGAAATAAGAGATTAAGTTCTCTTTCTTGTGTTATCCTTGGTATGATGTTTTTGATATGGTGCATTTCTTTACATTGATATTTGTTTTTATTGTTTTATCATGTATTGGATATGTTTTTACCATGTTATTTACTGAATACTGAAATAAATCTATCTATAAATCTATCTATCTATCTAGCAAATTCAATCATATCGAGTTTGCAATTTTCATGCTATTTTCTTGTTTATATAACTAACAGTGGATTTCCCATTTTCCAGATTTTAAAGAGAATAAATACATCAAGTACATGTGATAGTTTTGTTACAAGCACACGCTTATCACATATTGACTCAAATATACGTAGGCAACAATGTGTATAATGATGCAAAGTACCGATCTGTAAATATTATTTTCGCAAATTTTTCAGTCCTACTATAACGGTTTTCGTTATTTGGAAAACGTTAGATAAAACTATAATCAGTCATTGGTGTTTTCAAAGAACAGCGTTTTAAATTTTCACATCATTTCAAACGGAGGATAGAAAAATGATATTTTACAATATTTAACTGAAATCAGAAAACACTGTGAACACGATGAGGCGATTAACTCCCATTAACTTTACTCAATTATTTTTAAAGATATTTAAAGGATTTTAACTTTTTTAAGAATTTAAGAAACATACGTAATTTTATTCAAGTAGTTTTAAATCATTACACTGATGGACGGTATTGCGTGTATGATATTTTGTCTTATGTAATTACTGAACAAAGTCTGAAAACGAAATTGCCACAACAAATTCAGTGTAGATTTGTCAGGAGGAAAATATCATCTTACAGTAAATTGTATGACTTTGCTTTCTGAAACTAAATTAGCTAGCTATGTGATGAAATTTTGAAACGTTAATATTCAAAAATGTTGACTTTATGTATTATTGATTTGTCAAATAACAGATATTAAATCCAATATAGAATGATACGAAGAGATAATATTGTTGTAATGTAGCACCTTTGCTAACGACAATGTCAATATTTATAAATGACCATTAACTATCCAGTGTGGATCACTACTTCGTTACACTGAACAATTATTTTATTATCAAGTGTCAAGTCCTTAACATTAGGTTTAACGCTAAAACGGAAAATTATAAAATGGAAATGTTAAAATACTTAAAATATTTATTTGCTTAGTAAACGGACTTTGTACTGGTAAACAAATGTATAGAAATGACAATTTATCTCATAGTAAACATATTCATTTGGACTTGGTAATATTTATGTTTCTCTATCAAATACAATACATACTATTAGTTATTTTCCCGCTACATTAAATACTGTACTAAACAAAGTAGAACTAAACACCTTTTAAGAGTTGAATTCATTTTGTCTACGTTATATGAGTGTGAAAGAAATTATGTTAAAGCTGCATGTTTCCAGATGACCAAAAATGTTTTAAGAATATATAAAACTTGAGAAAATGAGTTTAAGATTTTAAGAAAAGTAGACAGAATCAATATTAAAGCAATAATTCAAATATTATATGTGATAAATGACTAATTTTGCAGTATTTACCATCATATTTCTACTGCGTCACTAACGCAGTAAGAACTATTTTTGCAATATTTAGATATCTTTTTTTTGTTATTTGGTTGAAATGCGAGTGCAGTTATCAAGTTGTAAATTACGATTTGTTTTTGACTTCTTTTATTACATTTCAAAATTTTCTATGAAATTAAGTATGAATCTGGAGGCATGCTGCTTTAAATTATGTAATAATGCTATTTTACATGATTTTGAAGTTATAAACAAACCAAAACTTACTGGAAATGACAAAAGGTGATACATTTCCAACTGCAACAATATAATACGTATGCACTGTTTAGAACATGTATGTATAAAAAGGTTATTTACTTATAATGAGACGTTATGTTTTTCAAAAGATTTCTATGCCGTGTTTCGTAAATATTGCATAACATGATGGATAAAAACAAAAGCATATATATATATATCAGTTTCAGTTTGAAATTTTTCAAAACATTTCATTATTATTATTTTTTTATTATCATTATTAATGTATTCCACTGAGGGTCAATCTTATGCTAAAAGTTGGTTTGTCTAAATTGGCTAACACGAGTTCGATTAAACCGACCAAATGTTTGTGTGACGATAGAAAGTCATAGAAATAATTGCAAGCATACAGTGCTGTAACAAGATCAAATGATATTAGATACGTTAATTCTTTAGACGGCAGGAAATGTCAACTTTTAACTGGTGGTATTCGTCTGATAAAAAAACAACAAATAAGCCGCGTCACGACAAAACCAACATAATGCGTTTGCGACCAGCATGGATCCAGACCAGCCTGCGCATCCGCGCAGTCTGATCAGGATCCATGCTGTTCGCTTACCAACCCTATTACAAGTAGAGAAACTGATAGCGAACAGCATGGATCCTGATCAGACTGCGCGGATGCGCAGGCTGGTCTGGCTCCATGCTGGTCGCAAACGCATTATGTTGGTTTTGTCGTGACGCGGCTCAAATAATCGAGGTTATAATAGACATTTCAGACTGTAGACGATGGTTATGAAGATTAAATGTCACAGAAAATTTATATAACTTGTGATTATAAAGAGAGATACATTTTAATGAAACTAATTCAACGCCATATGACATAGAATAACAATTATTTAAGATATAATTATTATAGTTAAATTTGATACTTGAAAATTTCTTAAGTAAAAATATTTTACCTAAAATCTGTAGGAAATAAATGATAAAATCTTATCAGTATGAAGCATGTACCTATCAGTGTCTGCATTGTAAACGCCATAAATGATGAGAATATTTTTAGACCTAATACGAAACACATAACTATGTGTCTATTATACCAAGCATTATATGTTACGAATTAAAAAAGTTGTTACATATATCGAATTCCAGGAATCGACTTCCGCCCTTTCCCCTTCCCTTTCCCTACAAAACGTAAACATATAAATACGTACATAAATAAAGTTTATCTAAATAAATAAGAGAACGACAGAAAGAAAGAAAGAATAAATAAGAGAAAGAAAGAAAGAAAGAAAGAAAGAATTAAGGAGGAAAGGAAGAAAGATAAAAAGAAAGAAAGAAAAAAGAAAGAACAAAGGAAGAAAGAATTTCAAAGAATGAAAGAATGAAGATAAATATAATTTAAAAAAGATGACTGGTTTAGCCCACAACAAAGATGGCCAAGTTGACTTTTAGCGGGAGTAAAGGGTAAAAAAGTTAAAGCAACTCAAATACTACTGATTAATTGAAGCAACATTTGTACACCACTATACAATATGCTAATATAGTCATGATAAAATTAATGTAGATTTTATTTTTCAAAAGAATAAGGATATCCCAGAACAAAACTAACAATAAACGTTTTTATTCTATTTCGTTGGTATTATTATAAATTGCTAAATACAATAATGTTAATGCAAATAGACTGTACATTTATTGTTAAAATGCTCGTGTTAATTTAATCCTAAGTTTTTACTACCTTTACAACAAATGTGTCTTTGTCAATGCTCAGATCGTGAAAGTGATTATGTAGTTTCATTCATGTACAAGACAAGATAAAATCTTTTAAACATGGCTTAGGAAGCTATATGCGTTTTCAATATTACAAATTTAATTATGAAACAAAGTATAAAAGTTACTTCGACCTCTTATATGTTTGGCTTTAATAAAACCAAATTTAATTCTAGTTTTAACAATTTTTGCCGACACTAGAGGAAGGAATTTCAATATTGTTAGACAATATTAAACTGCAGAATCTATGAAAACTAAAGAAAGTATTATTTTCATTAATCTTATTAAGTGACAACTTGGTGAATAAATAGGTCAAAACATTATTAAACCACGGTGTTTAACACACCTTATTAGAAGTATAAAGAGTCAATCCGATTTAATCAAAACAGTTGATCGACGATTGTATCCTGGTCGCCAAAGAGTATTGATCTTGAATTAGGAAATACTTTAAACAGAAGCGAAAACAAATTAAATTGCATTTCTGTGTGTGTGATTTCATTAAACGGGATATTCATTTTACTGGAATTAGATTGATTTACAATACAGAAAGGTAAGATACACGATATTATTGAGAAAAAAAGCTCTGCATTTATCTATTAAAATGGTATACATTAAAATATCATATTGTTTTTATTGAAGCATATCAACAAAATAATCTTAAAGTAAATGTATGATGTAATATCCTCTAGACAAGAATCAAAATGTGAAAAAATACGTCATTAATGTTGAATTTTTACAGGTTTTTTATTTTATTTTTATTTTTTGGTGGTCAGTTTGATCTCATTTGTTGTTGTTGTTGTTGTTGTTGTCATACATAACATTTAGATGTAGAATGATATTCAGTATGTTACGTTTGAATAAATGCCAGTCCCAGCGTCTAACATTTTTACTACGTTGACCTATGTCTGTAGACAAACGTGCTAAATATCATATAGTTTCATCAACTTATATTGATACATAAGTGTTTTAAAATCTTGAAATATCATGTAAACTGACATATAAATGTTTAGAATATATTTCCTCGGTAAATGTAAGATTACTTCTCCTTCATAGTGACATGTTTATAGTGACATGTTTACAAATTCTAATAAATTTAATAGAGCGATACTGTAATACCCACTCCCCGCCTCTAAAATGTTCGCCTCTCGTTAATTAGTTAGGGTACACGTGTTGTGTTACTAAGGGAACCATTTGTAGCGTTTGTTTTCAAAATTTAACGAAACTGCCTCTTTGAACGTTCCATAATAACCATTCTTGTGAAAACATTTGCAGAATTTTATTCAAAGTCAAACATTATTTCCAGCTTTAAAGTCGGTTTCTGCTTTAGTCGGTGCCGGGGAATGGACGGTATCTTGAATTTTCACGTTTCACGTTTTAACGCGCTCAATCAAGCTGTGTCTACAACATTTCTAAGAATTGTAAGGTTTTCATTTGAATTAATTTGAATATTATGCATAGATCTGATTGGTGTTTCATTTTATGCATGATTATACATTTTTTTATATCTTATCTAAATTGGAATGTATTTTCGACTCGATCGAAAGAAAAATGGTATTTATACATGTATATTGTTTTACTTATATTCATATTTCATCTAGTGGATTTCTTACGTTCAGTATTTTTTAATTCACTTTATATATACATTTCGACTATATTCAATCGTGGAGTGTTCTACGTTTTTAAGCTAACATTTTATATAATTTGACTGTAAAATGACATATTTTATTGTCTACGACAGTACAGGGAATTTAACATTTTAATATACATGTTCAAACAATTTTAGTATCACTTTAATCGAAAATAATACCCCTTTAACATTTTGCGCGCTATTTTCATTGACTATATAGAAGTTTATGATATTTTGCAACATAAAAAAGAACCATGTCTGATATTATCTAAACGTTTCTACTTTTACCTCAGTCTGAGAAATAACTCCTGATTTGTGTTATTTACGAAAAATCAGCATTGATAATTGAATTACTCTATCTGGATATACGTGCTTGCGTTATATTTATCAATTATCAGCATCATTTAACTGTTTTATGTTTAAAATGGTAGATATAATAAATTTCTGACTTTACACTATTTTCGGTCACAATTTGGTTTTCTATTTTAGGACAGAAAGTAATTTAAATGCTTTTTCCTGTGACCTTTCTACAACCTGGTATTACAATTTCTCATTCTGTCTTCTCTATAAATAATAGATGGAAGTATGGTCATAAGGTAAACTAATTAAGACCGGAAAACACATGGGGGAATTAGTTGTGCCGAATATGGATTTAATATTTAAGTTTCGGGACTCACTGCATGCAGGGAACATGAAATACTAGTGGCATTTACATTGTCTTTAGCCATTTCATGATGCTGATATCGTTGACTAATAAACATGTATTTACGTACATTGTATTTTGTTGAAGTACATTGTTATTTGCTCATTTATTTGAAGGTTACCATCAGCAATCACGTCAATGCCGGTCTTTGTGCAAATTTGTAAAGGGTTAAATTTCAAAAGAGTATTTTCCAAAACCACTGATTAGTCCTGATCAAGTAAAATTTGTTATTACGTATAGTAAATGTTACATGTATCGAAATCGCAATATATCAGTTATTTCATCTCTACGAACGGAAATCATTTAATCGGAAATTAGTTGTTCAAATCAAGTATCATTCGATTACTAAAGAAAAATGAAAAAAACCCTGCTGAAATGCAAAATGATAGTAGTATAAAGTACCAAATTGATAAATCAAACTCTGTCGTCGTCAATGACCATGAGAGGTAATTTATGCCAGATTTATATTTCTCATAATCGCCTTAAAAATAAATAAAAAATTGACAGCCCATAAAGGGGGTCTGTTTAACTCATCATTAAGCTCTTTGGCGGTTAAGTATATGTATTAAGTTAAATGAGCTTGTGTTAGAATATTTTATATCTCACGGTTAAAGGGACCAGTTATTTCACGGGGGAGGAAGTGTTACACGAAGGATGGAGTTCTTGTAGAGGCGATGAAAAATGGCCTGTGAATTAGTTTTTGACACATAACACAAGATGTAAGACAAGCTTAATCATTAAAGTTTAATTTAACGCCTTAAACTCATTTTTGAAAGATGAAAATAATCATTTTTGACGAGTGCTTTTGTAGTATATACAGATGTTTTCCGACGAACTCCGTGACAGTTATCACAAGAACTCCTGAACAAGTTATCATAAGAACTCCATCCTTCGTGTAACACTTCCTCCCCCGTGTATTTGGACTAAATTGTTAAAACCTATCGTTTTTAATAAATGCGATAGAACGTTGGCGATTGTTGGTAAATGTTGAAGATAAAATGACAAAATTGTTATAAAAAATAGGATGGTGTCTAGCATCCTAGCATTTCCGTCATTGGAATATTTTATTTGACTGTTATGTTATGATTTTGAGATAATAATTAAATGTTTCAGTTGTTGATTAAACATAATTTTTTTCTTCTTTTTTTAAACTTAATTAAATTTTCTGTTACCATGGTAACCACTGAACAGTTCTGACAAAATCTTTAAGATAAACGACACATATATTTGAATAGCATTTCACAAAACACATGAAGTACAATAGCTATGAGCGTTTACAGCATGTCTATGATGCTATTATATTTATTAGCGTTCAATAAATTCCTTTGCGTCAATATAAGTTAAATGCATTAAATTTATCATGTTAATTCATCGATTTATTGATTAGTCTATTTTTAGGTAATTTATAAATGTGTTGGTATTGTTTTTCGTTATTATTTTAGCAATGTAATTATATAATATATATACATATTCTACTAAAATACTAAAAGAAAACAGTTACTAATCCGAAATATACATTCATTATACATTTACATCTGCAATTTATGCAATATGTATAGTGTCTGAGAAATTTATTTAACTAATAACAGACATGTTTAATAAAGGGCTAATTTTTTATTATATTCCATATTACATGAATGTTGCTTACATATCAATGAAAAACATTTACAACTGTATCATTCCAATCATTCCAATCGTGTCTATCCGAAAGCTGGTTTAGTGGAGGCATGAGTTTGTTATTATTTATGATATTTGCTACTCATGTTAAGACTAAAAAGATATGGAATATAAAGACAATACCGCTTTGTTTGTCAAGTGAACGTATCAATACATGTAATGCTATATGATCTATTAGACCCGCCACTTTTTAAGTTAAAGATATGCATCATCGTAACAGCCAAAATATATTGCACATTTTTACTTTAAGTTTTAAATTTGTGGACGCGGATTTTGTATTGTAAAACGATGAAAACGGTGAAAAAAAACAACAACAACAACAAAAAAAAACCCAACATCATTCCTTTAAAACACATAATACCTTAAAATGCTATTACATTATATATCGTATGTTTCGCAAAAGTGTTTTATAATTTAGTGTCATGAAACGAGTTTCGAGGATGTCAAACTACCACTTAATTTAGTTAATTTTGTTACTTTTATTACAAACTGTTTCACATTCAGCACTTATTAGTAAGCATTAAACAAACATGTTTTAAATGCAATATAAAAACATTAAACGCATGTTACCCCTTCTAAAGAAGAAGTTTAAAAAATCATTTTCGAGACATGGTGTGCTTTAATCAAAATTCTATCCAATGAATGATTTCATTATCACAGTGGTGTAGGGGCAATAAGGCGTCAAGATCAAAAATATATAACCTAAAATACATAAACCTTTAAGCTGTTTTTTTCTTTCTTAAAACCCATTGTTAATCATTAAGGTCAGGAATTGGCGCACATATTTAGCAATTTAACAATGGATTAAAATAAGCTACTTGATATAAATCGTAGTCCGTGCTTTAATAATCAGCCGTAAATTGTTAAAATATTTGTTTTGATTCAACTTTCCATGAAATATTTTAATTTTTCTTAATTTTGATATTTTATGAATTTCTTAAAAAGTTAAATGAAATACGAAACGTAATTACATAAACTTACTCAGTAAGCTGTATGGTTGGTTATTTCTTGTTCTGTTTACTTTATTATTTTGTTTGTTGGCGTTTACGTCAAGGTTATACAGCGACTTTCCAGCTTTCATGGTGAAGGAAGGATTCTGGTGTCTCTACGTGCACAAACGGGCACAAACGGGCACATGAGTAGAACCATCGAAGTTCCTTAAGTTAGCTCAGCTTTTATTCATAATAACCTCGGAGTTAATACGAATGAACAGTAGTTTCAGGTGTAAATAGAAATCGAGATAATGAAAAACGAATGTATATATTTGACATCCAGATGAACAAAAAGTTTGTTTCGGTACAATTATGATTGAAAATATATCAGACAACCATTTTTAATTTAAATGTGCTCACTGATGTACACTTATAAACACATCCGACTAAATGTCAGCAGGTTTGCATTTTATACTTTCGGTTTCTACAACCATAATTATAGTATGTATATGAATAATGTACTGTGTTCTTTTATATCTATGAATTTACTTATTTAGGTGGACTTTTACTTGATAAATTAGGGAAAAACTTGTCAACAACATCGAGCATTC